TTGTCTTTTGGACTTCCCAAAAGGACCCGTAGTATATGACTTGTTTTAAAAACCACCTTCATACCTAGTTCCTTGAAAATCTTTCTAAAGTTCCTCGTATATTGGTGGTATGGGACTGAGATGTATTTATCTTGGTGTTTCTCCTTTCTGAAAGTCAAGATTTCGTTCATTCTTAACCTAAACTTCTTCTTTCTTATTATGTCATCTACAATACTCCTCGAGAAACCGTTAGTGGCTCCTATTTCTCGTATTGTACGTCTTTCTTTTGTGAACCTATCATGTGTTAGAGGGAAAGTCAAAAGACGATGCACTGAAAAATTCAACCCAGCACGTCTCGACTGGGTACCTGTATGGGATACCTATATTATTTCGTGTTAGGAATTCTCTTTGACCTATCACGTGCATTCGATACACTGAATCCGTGGATATTGTCTAATAAACTCAACTCGCTGGGCATACGAGACTCGCTGAACGACTGGGTCATTTCATATGTTACCAGTCGCCAGCTCGTAGTACAGACAGAAAATGTAATATCAGAAAAATTTAGCATAGAACTGGGTACACCGCAAGGAAATATCATAGATCCGCTACTATTCATCTTGTATGTCAATGATCTGCCTTTACACATAAGTACGGGAGAGACATTCATGTATGCGGATGATACCTCAATAGTGGTGCATGGCAAAACGCCAGAAGAAGCAAATAACAGGGCCCTTACAGTCATACATGAATTTCATGAATGGTGTCAAAGAAATCAACTTTTAATCAATATCAGTAAGACAACATGTATTGAATTCACTGGAATGCATAAAAACCAATCAGACTACAATATATTGATAAACAATATCACGATGAGCATGTGTGAAGATGCAAAATTTTTGGGCACATTCATCGACTCCAAAATGCACTGGAACCGGCACATTGACTTTATCTGCAAAAAACTCAGTAGCCAGTGCTTAGCGATTAAGCAACTGAAGAGATCCTTGAACATGAAATCTCTACTAAATGTATACTATGCATTAGTTCACTCAACTCTGAACTACATTATGTCATGGGAAATAGCACAGAGATGGAAAGACCGCTTGTAATACAAAAAAGGATAATTCGTGTAATATTTGATCTTTCCTATAACGAATCATGCCGAGATACTTTCATACAATATCCCTACTTTTACTAGTATATATCTCATGAAAATTCTAATGTATGTCAAAACAAATATCAATTACTTTGAGAAAGTCGGAGATATTTCAAAGTATGCCACTAGAAATTCTAAAAATTTGCGACTGGGCAGGGATAATCTTGCATTCTTTAAAAAAACTGGAATCTACAGAGGATGTTCTTATTTCAACTTGCTTCCTCACAATATCAATTGTTCATTCGTAATAATCTTCAAAAAAGAACTGGGAAAGATTATGAACAAAGGTTGCTTCTACAATATACAAGAATTTGAAAATTATTTAAAAACTATAAATAGTAGTACATAACCAATAAATAAACCTTTTTAGCATAATTAGTGGGTATAATTGTTTACCTGCACTCTAGTTTTGTGTAAGGTCAGTTGGTATATTGTAATGTTATCTGGACCTGTATCTTAATTGCGATTTTCAGTTATACATAACTCACATTTGTGTATACTACCACACAAATAGTGTATCGGTGTACACAGTGTGTTAGTATATACATGGATTTTATCTCCAGTAGACTAAGTTTGTATCTGTTGTATGTTATTTAATTGTACACAATTCATATTTTATGTAATTTCCATAAGCTTACCTTGGTTTATATCCTTGTTGACGTTCACAATCCATGTCTATGGAAGATGTGTTTAGTATATATACCTTATACATTTTACATTTCAGTTTATGTATTTCTGACTTACCTTATCCATGTAATAGTGGCAATGAAGGAAAAAATGAATATCTTTCTATCTATCTATCTATATAGCATAAATAGGACTAGCTCGCATTAGTTTCTACTTTTAATCTTTCTCTTTGAAGATGATCACTTGGTGATCGGAACACGTGTCGAAGTGTTGAAAATAACGTATGGTGTTGGGAAAAAACTCTAGTAATATTATTTACCTTCATGATTATCATTTCATAACACTAATTTGTACGAAATAGGTGAGTAAACTGATTCATAATATACTTTGAGTGGTTTTAGAGTGAAATAATTCATTTTTGAGTTGCAAAATGGCTTATGATCCGCTGTTAACTTATGCTTCAAGACTATTGATGGTTTCCCAACTCATATTGAAGTCTGGGTACGAACCTAACAATTTGGGCAAATTATGTGATCTCATTTTCAAAACTCATATGAAAGTCATTCATTACTATTACAAATTGACTATCAGAAAATTCGTGGTACACCAATCACTGAATTCTTCAGACAGTATATTCATTTTCATTCAATGTTTCCCAGGATTTTCAGCACCTTCAGCTAATGTGTTGTCACCAGCATACAAAATGATGTGCTGGGTACTCACATAGACAGGTACGTCATTAAAGAATATTACTGGAGTTTTTTCCCAACACCAAATTGTTAATTTTAACACCTCAACACGTGTTTAGATCACCAAGTGATCATCTCCAAGAGGAAGTTTAATCTTCCTGATGGTCAGGTCAATGGTATCGAAAGCTTTCGGAAGATTTTCTTGGAGTAAGGGCCCGATATATAATTAGGGGCTTTAATGCATTTCATGTTCATCTTACCATTTTGATGTTCAGTAGGTATCTATATCGAATTTGAATTAAAATATCAGTATCTGATTTCAATCACAAGGTTCAATAATTTTACAATCACAGATGATACTGTAATATTTTAATGATTATTAAATCCTTGCTAGAATATTAGTGGGCTCATTTTTATTGTTGATAGAAACAGTTGTTACCGACAAGAACCAATTTTGGTGATCCATAACACTGAAATGTGTACATGCATGAGGTAGATTAGCGAGTACATTGAAATATAAGATGAAAGTTTCGGTAAAATTGAACATCCACTACTTTATTTATACATTCGTTATAAATATAAAGTAAAACTTCACTTCGAATTGTTTAAATGATTATTTTTTTGTTTCACCATGCCGCACACCATCTCATATTTGTTTCATCTGTTAGGAATCTGAAATTCTGAACTTTAAATGATGGAGAACTTTGTTATCGATATTTCTGAATTTCCGTTCTTATAGCGTCTTCATGAAACAAAAAATGATTCTCGGTTGAAAAATTCATGTCATTTTGCACAGAATTTGCCATTTGATAATGTTTTTTCCTCAATACCGTATAAATATAACAAATTCAAGAAATGGAACACTTTGGAAACATGTTAATTTTCCGAAACTTTTGCGTTACATCATATACAGGATGAGTTAACAAGATTCCCTGGGTCCATGGATGAATACTATCTCTAGAAACTATGTATTTTCTTCCATACTGGGTGATTCAGCTGAGCGTGGCCCACCAAAGTTTTATTTTTTCAAATGGAACACCCAGTAAATGAATATGTCATTCGATTCCATATTCTTCAGCTCTCTAAGGAATTTTTGTTTTTGAATTTCCATTTTGGCAATGCCAAGTTATTCCAGAAAAACTTATTTTGCAGACAATATATTTTTAATTCACCACCCGCATGTCTGCACTAATTGTGTGGATTTTTCAGGAAAAGTTAGTCAACATCACCACGATAATTTCGGTAGTCTCAACTTCCAAAAACAATATATAGGGTGCTCTGTGCAATCGGTCAAGTTTCATTCATTTTCAAATAAACATCTTTCAACTTTTACAAATGGAACACCCTATATGTTTTCATTTGTATGAAATATTTCGAAATTTCACTACAATTTCTATCAGAAGTATGCTATACGAAAAACAGATATTTTACAAATTGAACCCAGTTTTATTGATTTTTGTAACCACAAAAAATTCATTTATTTACGTTCACTTACTCAAAATTTTTTCAATATGAACAATAACACCTAACGTTTCTATTGAATAGATGAGTCCAAAAAATATTCAAACTGGCGACCATCGTTTGCAACACATTCCTAGATAATTTTAAACTTTTGGTTATGTACAACTAAAAAAAATACTTTTTTGCAATAAGAGGAAACCTGAACAAAAAATACATGAGAAAATTCTGGCTCACCTGGTTTTCAGCTCACCTGAAAAAAAATTGAAATGGAATTCAATGTGTTGAGGCTTGAGAAAATAATTTGTGAACCAATTATTTGTTTGGCAAGTTGATGAACGGTTTTTGAAAATCTTATATTGGGCGTTTCAACGAAAACTTACACCCCCCGTAAGTCAGAAACGGACATAAACACGTCAATTTTTATTTCTTGGGGGACTGATTCTGATATGGAAATCATAACCGAAACATCACCCACCTCCCACATTTTTTTCAATGGCTGCGGGGTCAAGTGATAAATCTTGTGAAAGGTCTTTTGTCCCTCCATTACGTCTGTGATTTTTTTCCAAAATAGGTCCATTCGTTAGTGAGAAATCAAAAGTTGAACGCTTTATTGAAAAAAAAACTGAAATTTCGCTGTCGTTAATTTTTATGAGGAAATCAACAACAAATAATATCAGTGGAAACAAAATTAACAGATAAATTGTTCAAAATGACCACCAACTAGTTCCATACAATTCATTCATTTTCACGCCATGACGAAGGTGAGTTTTTTGCTTTAATCACAACAGCACACTGGTATGCAATCCAAAGTGAATGTTGGAGCAAGTAAGCAAGTACTCAGATATTTCAGGTTCTTCTTCCTCTTGAAAAACCAATCTGGGTTAGACATACCCGACTGTTTTACACTTGTTTTATCACCGCGAAAGCAATACTTTATGTTTTATCAACAATACCTTTGAATATTTTTCTCTTGGACTAAGAAACAATACATAAAGGGTCACTTGTATATGAGAGATACCCGCGACCACAATTGTCTGAGCGAAAATATTTTTATAACTTATCACAGTTTTTTATTTTTACAGTGAATTATGACATCCAAAAGAGTGTATGAGTTTGATAATGAAGCATATGTATTAGAGTTGCAAAGGCTATTTATTGAAGACCAAGATGATCCAGTTGGGGAGGTCTTAGATGAAGCAAATGATACAGACTCTTCTGAACACATAGAAGAAAGAGATGGAAGTTCTGATAGTGAACAAAACGATTCGGACGGAAGTATAGCGTCAGATAACGAAAATGAAAATTGTTATATAGCTCTCAGAAAGAAAAATGGAAAAATTACCGACAATTACGTTTGGGAAAAGACACCTTACAACAGAAGAAGAAGGTTAGAGAAGCAAAATATTCTTGTGCGCCTACCAGGAGTTATTGGTAATGCTCGTCAAGCAAGGGGATGCCTTGAAATATGGCAATTTCTATTCGATGACACCATTCTGAACTTGATAGTGACCTATACCAATCAGCATAAAATGAGTGTACAAGTAAATTTCAGCAGAGATAGAGACGCCCGTACTACTGATCTCACTGAAATCAAATCATTCATAGGGCTGCTATATTTGGTTGGACTGTATAAAGGCGGTCGATTGAATTCAGAGGAGCTGTGGGATACAGAAGGAAACGGTGTCGAAATTTTTAGATTGACTATGGGATTGAAGCGCTTCAGGTTTCTATTTCGTTCTATTAGGTTCGATAATCGAGAGACCAGAGATGAGAGAAAAAATAATGATCGTTTAGCTTCTATAAGAGAAATATGCGAAATGTTCGTAACCAACAGTACAAAGTGTTATTCACTAAGAGCCAATGTGACAATTGATGAAAAGCTTGAAGCTTTTTGCCGTAAATGCAACTTCATTCAATATATACCATCAAGGCCGGCCAAGTGTGGTATTGAGATTTTTGCCTTCGTTGACGCCAAAACATATTATACTAGTAATATGGAAATTTATGCCGGACTACAACCAGATGGATCATATTCCATGAGCAATAAAAGCATTGATGTGGTGAAAAGGATGATATCACCCATATACAACACTGGAGGAAACGTGACTATGGATAATAGATTCTGCGATGTTTCACTTCTGCAAGATTTATCTACAAACCATAAGTTGTTCATAATAGGAACACTGAAGAAGAACAAATGGCAAATTCCAAACCAGTTGAAAATCCTGAAATACCGTTCTATACCATTCAGTATGTTTGGTTTCAGAAAGGAAGGAACAATAGTATCCTACGTTCCTAAGAAAAACGAACATGTTGTACTCATCTCAAGTTTACATTTCGATGATAAAATTGATGAATCTACCGGAGATAAAATGAAACCTGAGATCATTCCGTTTTATAATGTAACTAAAGCAGGAGTCGACGTGGTAGATAAATTGTGTTCCTCATACAATGTAGCACGGAACACTGGTTATATTCTTTAGCATGCTCAATGTAGGAGGAATAATCTCTCAAGTTATCAACACCTGCGAAGACGTAGTAATTCCAACACTAATCTGCCGCATATGATATCAACCCGGCTCAGAGCAACTAAATATTCAAAATAAGGACCCAAAACTTAAACGTTGTGTACTATGTCAAAGAGAGAAGCGTACCAGATTAACAAAATTTCAATGTTCCTCCTGCGGGACACATCTCTGTCTCCAACATTCTAGCAACGTTTGTCGAGAGGGTTGTGCAGGTGCTACTAAGAAAAGAAGATTGGAAGATTGAAAGGTATCCATTTACTGATTTACAGTTCTTGAAGTTTTCACCAATTTTATGTGATAAATATTATCTATTTTAATATTGAGAATAACTTTTATTTTGAAAATTACATGTTATAATAAAATTATTGTATTCAATAGTTGTTTGTTATCATCCTCGAGTCCAATAAATGAACAGTTCTCATCAGTTCAAGTCGAGTATCTGAGAGATACATCCGCGATCATTTTTGTTGCGCCAGGACCTGCGACAACTGAAAGGTTTTGCCTGAATACATTGACATTTATATACATAATATAAGGTAATAAGCTCAAGGTCAATTCAGAAGATACTCGAAATGGTTGCCTTGAACTTCTTGAACATATGAATGATATTTCACGCCAAACATTTTCGAACACAGTACCGTCAATGTTTCTACAAATATTTATTATTCTCTGCCGTATATCCAATATTGAAGCAGGTTCGGTTTCGTACAGCTTTTGCTCCATATATTCTCATAAAAAATTCCAAAGGTGTCAAATCTGGCGAGCGGGCTGGCCATTCTGTAGGACCTCGATAGCCAATACAACGACCGGGAAAAGTAGTATCCACTAGTTTCTTACCAGTGGTGGTGGTGCTCCATCTTGTTGGAAAACAATATCCATATCGAATTGATTAGGATTCGCTTCGACGAATTCAGTGATGAGAGGGTCAACTGTAGTTTCCAGCATATTCAAATACAGTTCCCATGTTGAATTTTGAACAATGAATAGATGATCTACAATATTGTTTCCTAATATTCCTGTCCAAACGTTGATTTTTTATAGATATTAAGTATGTGTTTCCCGGAAAACGTGAAGGATGGTGTTACTCCATTAACGGTATTTTGTCTGTAAACATTGCCGTTTAAAAAAATGTACATTCGTCACTAAAACAAATATTGTGGAGATAGGTAGGATGCCTTGCAATGGTTTTCGTCATGATTTCGCAGAATCCTTCTTCGATCAGGGTCATCTTCAGTTAATTGGTGTACCATTTTAATTTTGTATGGATGATACTTATTCCTCTTCATGTCTGTCTGTCTCCACACAGTAAAAGGAGACACCTCACAAACATTGGCGACTAAATAAGTAGTCTGTTCAGGATTTACTACCACGTCACCAATTATTTGCACTTGCTGTTCTTCCGGAATGGACGGATAACCTGGGGGCTTTTTGTTATGTACACTACCGGTAGTTGTCATTTTGGATATAAGTTCCTTCAAATATTTTCTGAAGATAGGACGGTTCGAAAAACCTTCATTGAAAATTTGATCTCTAGAAAGTTACGCGTCGATCCGTAAATAAAAATCTCTTCAATTTTTTTTTTCCAATGGAATAGAATTGAACATTTCAGAGATTATTGATGTGGTACCTTTCTACTAGTAATACCGAGAGAACAAAATGATGTATTCTAAAAACACTTTATTGTGAGATTTTCACTAAACAATTCTACAAAAACGCAACACTTGTTTGGCCATACAATAGCTTTTTCGGACGTGTCTTCACATGAGTGAAGATACTCGAGTATCGGCCGATTCCATCAAATATCAAAAACTGAATGAGAATATTCTAGCTGAACAATGATATTCATTGACGTATTGATATTTTTCGCCGTTTTTATAACTGAAAAATAACTCAACAAGCCTTATCGGGTTGTTGGAATTGCTACAATATGGCAGATAAAAAGGAATATTTCTAAAAATATCGATATTAATGTGTTTGTCTTCAGGAAATTATTAAATGTTCCGCTATTTTGTAGTAGGTGAAGATATTTACTTTATATTCTATGGTTGTAAAGTATTCGACACAATTCAACTAACAATAAAGCAAAAAATTTTAATAAACGTAACTAATAACTAATTATTGAAATGTTTCGATTCAGTGCAACAATTAATTCTAACTCATATTCTAGTAGCCTCTACTAATCCACAACGTATTTCGATACATGTGTCGTAGCGCTTACGAATGTTTCTGATTACTTTCCTTAGTTCTTGAGGGATAATATCTGCACATACCTGTCGAATTCTTGCACAAAGTTCATTTCTAGCTCTCGAGCGGTTTTTGTAAACCTTTTGTGTGAGAAGTCCTCAGAGAAAAAAGTCCAAAACTGTGAGGTCTGGAGATCTGGGTGGCCACTCTATAAACGGACTCCCACGGCCTATCCATCGGTTTGGAAAAGTCCTTGCCTCACAGCTCTGACATAATGAAATGAACACCCATCTAACTGAACAATTATCGTTCATTGATTGGCAGCTCGTGGATAGCATCCCAAAAATCTGTGTTTAAAAATTCTAGAAACCTCTGCGCATTAATGTTTCCTTCAAAAAAAAGGACCAATAATTCGTTCGTTCAATATCCCACACCAGACGTTGATTTTGTGGGAATACTGGCTTTTACAGTTTATTACCCAGTTAGGATTATCCGCTGCCCAATAGCGACAATTCTGTGATAACACTACTCCATTTGTAGTGAAAGTGGCTTCGTCGGTATATAAAATATTTTTTAGGAAATTTCTATTGTTTAAATATTCCCCTTGGGTCCATAAACAATATTCCAGGCGTCTTCCTTCGTCGCCTTCTTGAAGTGTGTGTAAAAATTTTGGCTTGAAAGGTTTAATATTCTTCGCCTTGAGACATCTCCGAATAGTTTCTCGTGGAATATTCAAATGTAAAGTGGCATTCCTTATACTGGCATTAGGATTATTTCCGAAATAATCTAAAATTATTTGATCATTCCTGTTATTCCTGTTTCGTCTTTGCACAGGATTACTTTTTAACATAATTTTTGATACTGCATCAGTTTCATTGAATATTTCATTTATTTCATTTACCGTACCGCAGCTAATACGAGGACGATTTGGATGTCTCTCATTAAATACTCTACAAACCTCTTTAGCACTTCTAACGCCATCTCCCGAAAGGCGTACAATTTCAATTTTCACTCTTATGCTCAATCTTGCAGCCATGACACAAAATAATCCGAAGAACTGTAAGGTGAATATTTTTGACAATAGTACACTTGAATCTTTCCAAGTGTCAAACTGTTATATCATTTGCATGGCAACTAAGATTTAAATTGAAATATTAGGTCTTAGTTTTAGTAAATTTTCGTGAAAACTTGAATGTAATTTCGTTATTTTCATTAAAAATATTTACGCTATTTGTTTTTTTTTGTTCATCTGGCGGCACTTTATTGTTGAAATCATAAAAAAAATATTCTCATGGCTATATTTGTTGATATAGGGTGTTTTTTGTAACTGTTAGCTGTGTGAGTTGTCACAACTTTGTAAATAATGAATATTTTTCCATGAAATTCTGGTTACACCTGTTTAGAGGCACTCTGAATCCAGTGGCGTAGTGATTTTTTCAATAAAAAAATCGCTAATGAAAAATCCCGATTTTCGACTAAGAAAAATATCGTAGTATGCCCTGAAACTTTAATAAACATTTCAAATTTTGTCCCAAGGTAGACCTTTTAGTACTTGACATTAGAAATCTTTTGCAGCTTTTTGTATACTACTGGTTTTATTTTCGAAGACTTCAGCAAAGGTCAATTCGTGAACGTCTTGGCTTTAGGTAGCTCGTGTGTTTTTTTTGTAGTGTCTGATTCTGAAATAGATATAATCAATGAAGTTCATCAAAAAAGTATTCAAAACATGAAAAGAAGAAATTCAAGTACGTCCCGCGATCCGCGAATAAGGGGCTAGGTGTAACAAGTTACAACTAGCCCCGTGAAAGTGTTACAACATAAACCACGGCGTGGTTTTATGGAACAACTTCTATTAAAAAAAATGCTTACTTAATGTAAAATTATATAATAAAACTAAAAAAATGCTATACGTATTTGTATGGATCAACTACTGCTGAACAATTTGAAATCTACACTAATCAATTTCGTATAAACAAAAAAATGTCCGTTACCTGGCTTTATCGGAGCGCCTGCAAAACACCGCTTCCTGCGCTGTCTAGCGGAATACTGATTGCGCTCATATGATACATTGCGTATCAAATAGTAGGTTCTTCTATTATATAGTTCAAAAAGTATTGTTACCACTTGCTTTTGTTACAACTTGTATCCCGCTCCCCTACGCATAATAATTAATTTTTCATTTTCAAAAACAAAACTTCCATGAACAGAAAATAACACAATGAATTCAAATATTACGTGGGTAGTCGATATTGCGTTGCGTGTCCTAGGTATATTCCTGAAATTATGCATATTCGATGGAATATTAGTTTGTCGATATTAGATATTAATTAATATCAAATCGAAATGGACCAACAATGGAATACATGGCAAAATGAAATATTCAGTGTAATCTACAATATGCCCAGTTAAATATTTGACTAGATACTATGTAAATAATGTCTGGAAAATTAAACAGTAATATCATCTCCGGTCTGTATAAGGGACTAGATGAAAGAGCTACTATCTGAAACTGATAATTAGATTGAATTAAATGATTGATGCACATCACTATATTTAGTGAATCAAAGATTGAAACCAGAGCCCAAAAACAATGCAATCGTGATCCAACACCAAACAACTCTGTTTCGACCCGCAATAGGTCTCATCATCAATACAAGGGTGAAACATAAATGCACCGCTGCACTCAACTGGTCTTGAAGAACAAGCCTGAGTTGGACTGAGAGTAGACGTGATACTATCTTCCCTTCCGAAAACGAAGTTACAAAGTCAAG